GGGGAAAAATGGGACACCTATAATACTCTCGACGATAAAGATAAATAAAAAATAAAAAAAAAGAGGTTAAAGGAGGAATAAGTGGTGATGGAAGGAGACTTGACTTGGGGTGGTAAACACACAATACAATATACAGATGATGTATTATAGAATTGTAATCTGAAACTTATATAATTTTATTAACCAATGTCACCCCAATAAATTTTAAAAAATTAAACTTGGTCAACATTTTGTGGAGCAAATCAAATATTTTTGCATTCAAATATGGGACATGAGGAGGCAGTTACAATCTCTGATCCATGATTTCAACAACCCTAATTTCCTTTCTTACCTTTGAAAACATGGCTGTTAAGACACTTTCTCTAGCCTGGCCAGTGTTCTTCGGCGGTTGAGCATCAAACTATGATCCAGGAGATCACGTTTTGATTCCCGGTCAGGGCACATGCCCAGGTTGTGGGCTCCATCCTCAGCAGGAGGTGTCCAGGAGGCAGTTGGTCAATAACTCTCTCTCATCATTGATATTTTTCTCTCCCTCTCCCTCTCCCCCCTTCCTCTTTCTGAAGTCAATAAAAAAATATATATTTTAAAAAGAGACTTTCTCTAAGCCCTTGCCCGGTGGCACAGTTGATTGGAGCATCATCCCATACACTGAAAGGTCATGGTTCGATTCCCGGTCAGGACACATACCTAGGTTGCAGGTTTTCAAGGCATGTGTGGGAGGCAAGTGATTGATGTTTCTCTCTCTCTCTCTCTCTCTCTCTCTTTTCCTCTCTCTAAACATAGCCTTGAGTGAGGATTAAAAAATGAGACTTCCACTAAGATAGTTTATTAAGGTTACACTAGCTGCTGAAACAAATCAAAATATCTATTAGGTTGAATTATATTATCATTTTTATAGGTCAAAAAAATATCAGCAATTTCATGTTTCAAACTAACATAACAACCCAAATGTAACAAAAGTTTCTTTCATCCTGTATAATGTCTAAAATGGATGTTCCTGATCAGTGGGTAGCTGTCCAAGCCAATGGTTGTTTCAGAGCACCAGGTTTTTAATCTTATAAATTCTATATCTTAGCTCCTGGATCCCAAGATTGCTGGTTTTTTTGCATCAACAGAGTGGGTAGGGCAGAATAGGTCACTGACAACTGCAGTTGGGGATTTTTATGGACCAGGCTTCCAAGTGATGTACGTTACCACCACCACCATTCCATTGGCTAGAACTCAAGTCACATCTAACTACAAGGAAGGCTGAGGAATATAGTCCAGCTATGAGAGATAAGAGATAAGAGAAATGGGCCTGGTAAATGGCTGGTTGGTGGCTACCATAGATGGTTCCCTAATGTCTTCCATACTTCTCCCCTGCGATACATAACTCTTGGGTCTTCCCGGTGTTTTTTAATGTTGGTTTGTTTTTTAATTGATTTCAGAGAAAGGAAAGGAGAGGGAGAAATAAACATCAATGATGAGAGTCATTGATTGGCTCCCTCCTGGGCATTGAGCCAGCAACCCAGGCATGTGCCCTGACCAGGAATTGAACTGTGACCTCCCGGTTCATAGGTTGATGCTCAATCACTGAGCGACTGAGCCATGCTGGCCGGGCTTGGGTCTTCCTGTTTTTAAGAACAGATTGAGTAATAATACTTTGTATCTGTTCCATTTATAAGGAATTCTTGCATAAATTATGAGTTCCAAGAGCCCTGTGACATAAACAATTATTTCCACCTTATAGATGAAGAAACTAAGGCTTAGAGAGGGCACATGTTGACTTGTCCAAGGACATGAACTATGAAACCAGCTCATCACGGCCACAAGGATACTAATTTATACAGTGCTTTTTGGCTTATACAACACTCCCATGCATAGTATTTTATCTGACCACTAGTGCAGGGACCTCCCCATTCTGACAGTTTGTGGCCTCTCCATCATGCCCTGCTGGTTATTAGCATGCTGCTGGCCCAGCAGATTATAGGATATAAATAGATGCATTTGTTGTCTGACCAAGTCTTTTCCTGGAGTGAGACACATTTACTCCTGCTAGAAACCAAGGCCTTTTCTGCCTCTTGGCTCAGGTTAGGAAGGCAGGTTTTGAGGTCCCAAGAATTCACATGATGGCTTACCTATGCTTCTATGGCACAGCATGGCGCTCCAGGTGAGCACCAAATTGCCAAAGCTCAAAATATGCTGGAAAGCAGGTTCAGGGTGGGGACATGGGGTGCAATGGGATGCAGCTGTACTTAACAACTCGATTACCTGCCAACAGGGAGATCTCCGTTCTGTTCTGCTGTTTTCTACTTCGCTGTGCAGTATCTTCTCACTAGTAGAGCAAGAAGGATTTCTCTTCCATTAACTCAAAGTCCACTTCACGGCTTTTGCTTTCAAAATGTATTTTGCCCTAGCCAGTTTGGCCCAGTGGTTGGAGCGTCAGCCCTTGGACTGAAGGGTCCGGGGTTTGATTCAGACCAAGGGCATGTACCTCTGCTTTAAGTCCATTCCTCGGCCCCGCTTGAGTTGGGGTGTGTGTGGGAGGCAACCAATCCATGTGCCTCTCACATTGATGTTTCTCTCTCTCCCTTCCACTCTTTCTGAAAAGCAATGAATAAAATATCTTCAGGTGAGGATTAAAAGCAACAAAAAAAAACACCCAAAAATGTATTTCTCATCTTCTACTGAGATCTCTACTTGTTGCCTCCCTGCATTCCCCCGCCTTCAAGCAAGCAGGGGGACTTAAATAGAAACATGACCTTCTTCATCAGGAGGGTTGAGGTTCAATTCACTTTGTGAACTCCCTGAGGGCAGCAGCTGCTGTGTCCTCTGCTTCAGTTCCCCTGGTTACCTAACAAGTACCTGGCCTCCAGTGGGTGTCCCAAATGTTTGCTGACCAAGAATGCTGTGTAAGTATCTTAGAAGTTTTCAGAGATAAAGAACTCAGAATTAAAGCAAAAAACCCCAGCGTGCTATTCCTTTAAAAAATAACTTTTAATTATAATCACTTTCAAGCACACAGAAAATACAATGAACATCCATATACCCACCACCATGTATTTCAAGATTCCAATTTTCAGGCTATTTAAGAAAATGTTCCAACATAGAGTAGCTTGCACTTATCAGAATCAGAGGTACAGCTGGGGACAGAGGATGAGCCAGAGCCAAGTTTTAAAAGATGGCCTTATGGCCTTAGAGAAGCAAGTGAATTGAAAACTCTTCATGGACAGAGAACTGCAGAAAGTGTTCTGAGGTTGGGGCTCTGGAGAAGACGGCTCAGGCAAGGCCTTGATAAGCAATACTGCGGACCCAGAAGACAGTGGAGACACAGAAGTTAGTTTAAATCAGAAAATATAAATTTACAATTTTGAAGAGAAGGGGGTAGAGTGCAATGAAATATCAGTAAGTTTTTAAGCAGGTATTATTTCATGTGGCTGTCACAAAAGAATTCTTTAAATTTGCTGATCAAAATTAGGTATATCAAATTCACCTGAGTTTCCCATTTCAGACTATGTTCCCAAGGCTCTCAGTAGAACAAGTGCTTCATTTTTAGCACAAAGAACCATAACTTACCTTTTGGTTAGTATTTTAAACAGTTCAGACTTTAGCACTTAAAGCTGATAGCTCTAGTGATGGGAAAAAAATAAATAAATAACAAGGCAAAAAACCAAGAAAGCCGATAGCTCTGGGATTCAACGTAGATTTCCCCAAGCCTGTAGGAGACCACTGAAACCAACTAGGACCTTAAGATTCTCAGTGTTTATCCTGTTTCAAATATAAAGCTGACTATACTGCCTTTGGCAGTCTATAGGCCACTTTCATCTAAAAGTTGCTAAAAATAAAAATCTGTTAAGTCCCAAATCAAGAAAATGTTTGGGGTACTACCAGGTGAGGCAAAACGATGACATTCGCTAGGGAGAAAAATATCCAGGTTTATATTAGGTAATTTTGTCTACCGGCAGCTACATGTACTTTATGCAGCATTTATTTCAATCAAAATACCTAAATTTGAAATGTATTTACATCTCTGAAAAGTTGTATCTTATTTTCTATAAACCAGTTATGACAGGTAAAGTTGACCATTTCTGCTTTACAAATAAAAAAATGAAGAAGGGCTGTTCACTTTCCCAGAGTTACATTAAAAGCAGAGGTGGAGCCCGATGGGTGCGGCTTGGCGGTTGAGCATTGAACTATGGCCCAGGAGATCAAGGCTTGATTTCTGGTCAGGGAGCATGCCCGTTGTGGGTTCAATCTCTGGTGGGGGGCATGCATGAGGCAGCCAATCAATGACTCTCTCTGATGGTTCTCTCTCCCTTCCTCTCTGAAATCAATAAAAACATTAAAAAAATAAAAATAAAATAAAAGCAGAGGTGGAGCCCTGGCCAGGTGGCTCAGTTGATTGGAACATTGTCTATATACATCCAAAGGTGGTAGATTTGATCCCTGGTCAGGGCGCATATAGGAGGCAACGGACTGATGTTTCTCTTTCTCAAAATCAATAAAAACATACCGAGGTGAGGAATAATAATAATAATAATAATAATAATAAAAGGCAGTGGAACTCAAAATTATAACCATGCTAACTAACCCAACCACTTGAATGCTTTTACTGACTTGGTTTTCAGCATGTTGCTCATGGCATACACAGAGATGCAAGATGTGGCTGTCATGACTATGCATGGCTGTCAACCAAGCTGCAAGTTGCTGTTCACATATTAAACACTGTCTTTTAGAAATAAAGATTTCTCTTTGGTGTTCTATGTCCTGGTTTATACCTTACACCTACTGACATTTTATGTATTTTTGCTCAACTTGTTTTTCCCTTTATCCCCCATTCTTTAAGATAAAATGAGCTTGTATTACATTTTTCAAGTAGTCCCTTTAGATTACTTTAGGAACAAATCAGGGCGTAAATTAATAATTATTTTGTTGCACCTTTTGGAATTGCAAGTAAGTAAATAAAGTTAGGGATACAAATTTTTTTTCTGAAGAGATACTCAAAATTTTTGTTCACCTAATTTTAAACTTGTGAACACAAAACACAGCTTTATTTAAATAAATAACAGAGGCAGAAAGATAGGAGAAAAGGAAAAAAATGAAAGTCTAAAAAAGTAAGAGAAACATGAAATTCTTAAACTGGTCCATCCAATCACTGCCTTACGAATGGCTAAGTTTCAAACTAATGATTCACAACTCTCACTTTTCAGATATGATTATCAAAACGGTGATCATCAAATGCTAAATAAAATATAGAAAGAGCGGAAGGTTCTCTACCTAAAACAGAGATCACAGAACTGCCTTAAAATACAAAGAAAATATTTTTATTTGTATAACAAAGACTAAGAGATAATGACATAATAAAGTTAACAGAGTTGATGTCAAGACACAAATAGGTTTGAAAAGCTATAGATGAGTAAGTAAGCGTTTTGTTTCATTCAACCTCTGTTCATCCTCGGTTATCTTAGAGAGCCTCTCCCTCTCTGGCATGCTCCTGACTGGATCCTAAGCAGGATGTGTCCTGGTGACTCAGTGATGACTCCTTTCCATTAGTCCTCAGTATCTTTCTTTTTTTTCTTTTTCTTCTTTTTCTCTGGACTCTGAAAATAACCAAAAAGAATGCTTTTGAAAGAGTTTAAATATATGGGTGAGTAATAACTTTTCCTCATAAAAAGCAAAGTAGATCTATTTCTCTTAAAAACAAATTTAAGGGGAAGTTTCAATTTTAAGATAAAAACCCATCTCTATAAAAGCGATTTGTGGTAAATCATACTCTCCCTTACTCAAAGCAAACCCATCTTGTGACAAGTCTAATTTTGAGAAACAGCCTTTTATAATACAAATACAACAATGGCATTATTTTTACCTCCCCATGAAGAAAACCATTTAACTGCCTGCCTGTTCATTTCTTTTCTTTTCTTTTTAAATATATCTTTATTGATTTCAGAGAGAGGAAATGAGAGGGACAGAGAGAAATAGAAACATCAATGATGAGAGAGTCATCAAGACCGCAACCAGGCATGTGCCCTGACCGGGAATCAAACCCCAATCGCATGGATCCAGGTAGATACTCAACCACTGAGCCACGGCCGGCCGGGCTGCCTGTTCACTTCTGATAAAGTAGAGTAAAATACAGAGACCCTACTCATGCCAATAAAGGACTGGTAATTCAATCTAACATACAGGAACTGCTGCGCTGGTGCACGGCTCCTCCTCAGAAAGCGGTTCTTCTTTAATGTGTTTCTTCTTGTCCTTCTTCTTCTTCTTCACCGATGTCTCCTGCTCTTCCACCACCAGTACTCCTCCTCCTTCTTCCTCTTCATCTTCTTCTTCAACTGAACAAAGTAAATGCAAAGATACAACAATTAACACTGTATCAGACCTCAGCTCCCCCCAAACCTTTTGAATCTGAAGTTTCCCGGTCATTATGGTCAATCATCCAGTGTTTATTTTATGATTTATAATTAGAAACGCCCTTCACACACTTACCTAGTCTAATACCACTAACTTTACAAATGATATAAAACTCAGAGAGAAGTGAATTTCTCCTGATCATGTAGCTATGCACAGAAATTAGAATTAAGACAGATCATCTCATCTGCATAACCACTGTTTTGGGGAAGATAGTCAATTATATTAGAAGTAAGTGTCTGTGCTATACGGTTAAAACATGCACTAAGAGGACCTGCTGTCAGAACAGATTTGGGTTGTAAGAGAAGACGATTCAAGGTTAAAGGACAAAGTAACCAGAATTGCCATTTACAATATGGAGAAAATTGTGGAGCAACAGGCTGGAAGTGGAAAGAACCTCTGAACGGTAAGTTTGGAAAGCTTGTTGGACATGTAAGTGAAGATACAAATCTGGAGCTTGGTGTCAAAAGCTACCAAAAGGGATTAGAGATTTCCTTACTGTTCAATAGAAAAATAAAACAGTTAAATAATGTTTTCATCTAGAGCAGGAGCCCACATTTGCTGATAGTACACTTTTGACCACTGAGTTACTTAGAAACCCAAAGTTAAATCAGTCATTGCTTTAATGCCTGTCTTGTTATACTATGTGGTAGGCACTCAACATAGGTCCAGCTAATAAATGAGGGTACTTGCTTCCCAACTTTACAAGACAGCCTACTTTACTGGAGAGCACCATTTAAATATCATCACTATGATGGCAGGTTACCTGGTATATTAGCACTCTAGTCCACTCCATATAAAAGAAACAATGAAAACAAGAAAAACAAAACACCACTACTTCATCAATTCTACACTTAACCATATAACAAAAATATCTGAGTAACTCATTTAGAAACCACATACTTATTTTTACTCTATTTTAAGCTCATTCTCAAAATAGTTCATGTGGTGAAATCCAAAGTTTTGGTATACTTAGTATAATATTTGATTCCACATATTCACAGAAATGAGTCTCATATTCCTCTTTGAAATCTGATACATTTAATAACATCCTAACTATTCTCAGAGAACACAATGACTTATTAAAATACCATTAACTTTCAATATGGGAGATTTCACAATAAAGTTCAATGGCACATACTTTCCCAAGGTTCATGAAGTCTATACTTAAGAAATAAGAATATAAATGACATTTTAAAAATTCAAACTAACCTTTAACTTTAACCTTAGCTTTTTTTGCCTTCTTTTCAGTTATTTCGTCCTCTTGATCTACCTGTTCTATCTTGCGTTTTTTAGAACAGGTTGGCAGTGTGGAGTCACCAGAAGGATCATAAGTCTTCACTTCACTGAAAGAGTCAGAGTTTTAGGAAATCTCTACTAATATCTGCAACTAAAATAATTCTAAAGAGATTTAAAGGAAATGCCATTAGATAATATTTACATAAGCATAAAATGCTGTTTCATTTTAGTGGCTTTCAGGCAGTTTATGAAAACAGTTTCCAAAGGGTAAAGAGGTATTAATATTTTCCAGGTAGGCTAATTACACTTTAAGAGAAGTGGTGAGCTAAATGAATTCTGATTGAGTGACTATGGTATAGAAAAATATTCAATCAACTTAGGGGAAAAATGGGAGAAAACCTCTTTACACCAAATGATTATACCAGGAAACTAAAAACTGAATCAATTTAAGTTTTACAATATAAAGTAATCCAATGAAAACCAAAACAAACCTACTGCAATCAAATTTAATACAGAAGGCTTCATCACAAGATCCCAAGAGGCAAAGGAATAGAGGGGGATATCTATGAATCAAGTCCCTAAAACCCAATGATTGTTTTTGTTCTAATATAGCAGAAAGAAAAAAATGGAAGTAGGGAGTGCCTAAAATGTAAGTAAATATCATAATTAGTGTCTCACGTGCATGTCTTTAAAATTATAAGCATAATGACATGGGTATATTAAAAAATTATTCAAAACAAGCTAAGGAATGTTCTATTTCTTAAGCTGACTTTTAGGCTCATGGCTTTAACTTTTAGAGGTTAGAAACATTTATAATTTAAAAAACAAAGATTCACATTTGTCAACTAAGGACAACAAATTTGGAACATTCACGAACTATAAAAGAAACATTAATGCCCATAACTGAATATATAAGGTTTCTTTCCAGAAGGAAACAATTTTTTTCTGAATGTATATATTTATATATATACATAAATATTTTTAACTGAGATGTACTATATATTGCTCTCCCCACTCACTTATAGCGTAAGACTGTATTATTAAAATTCTTAAAGAATTACAAGACTCCTAAAAGCAGAATTTATGGGTTAACGACTAGAAACAGTTTTTTAAAATATGTATTTATTGATTTCAGAGAGAGGAAGGAAGAGGGAGAGAGAAACATCAACGATAAGTCATTGATTGGCTGCCTCCTGCACGCCCCCTACTAGGAATTGAGCCCTCAACCTGGGCATGTGCCCTGACCAGGAATTGAACAGCGATCTCCTGGAGATCATAGATCAAAGCTCAACTGCTGAGCCACAGCAGCCATGCTAGAAACATTTTTAAGATGCTTAAAGCATCATACTGTCTCTAACAGCTTCCCAGAAAAGCTGTCCTACATTCTACTTTCATCATCNACAGCAGCCATGCTAGAAACATTTTTAAGATGCTTAAAGCATCATACTGTCTCTAACAGCTTCCCAGAAAAGCTGTCCTACATTCTTTCATCATTACAGCCTTGTCAGTATTAAGCATCACCTCAAGTAAAAACCAAAACGCCTCTCCCCACACATATCTTTTGTTAATTTTATGGTGAGGTCTGAATACTTTTCATCCCTCTTGGCCATTTTTAGATTTTTCTTTTGTCTGTTTTTTTAAAAAATAGGTTAATTAGATGAACTCTGAATGAATTTTCTTTGATAAATGGTATATCATACAGGAACTATGAATGTCAAACATGCACTATTATAAATATTTGGAAATGAGTAAATATTAAGGAAAAAAAAAAAAGCCAAAACAAATATACTATATGTACTTATTACAACAATGCAAATATGTATTTGATTAAAAACCTGAACTAAATATGAAAAACTGTAAATGGCAAAAAAAAAGGGTGAGTGGGACACCAAGGTGCTTCAGTTTATAACAAAAAACTGCTGTCAACGGGTAACATTTAAGTAAGCAAGAACTGTCCATCCATCTCCCCCACATGTACTTACCTTTTATGTTCATATTTTTCTGCTTTTGCTAATGCCTTTCCTGTTCCACTTATTTTCCTTATCTAAGAAAAGAAAAATTATTTTCTAGGACATAATCTCTTTATAGTATATACTCTAATAAATCAACTCTTGGTAAATATAAGGGAAAACTTTAACAGTAAGCACAAAAAGAATATATTAGAGGTACTAAAATGTATCATAAAACAAAACTGTTCAGCAGGTGAAATAAGTACATAAACTACTCATAGTTTATTAGCTTTTAACAGGTAACACTTCTGCAATAGGCAGGATGTATTTCTTACCCCTCTATCTTCCAAGGCCCTCAACCTGGCCTCTAATTTGGCTCTGTTCTCAACTCCCATCGCAGAACTGGAATCTTCACCAAAAGCATCATACCGGATAGCCAAAACAGTTTTGGCTGCCAACATTCGAGAAATCTAATAGAGAACTTGAAGTTAGAAAACACTCATGCTAGTATTTTCTTTAAACCAGGAATGACAAAAGTATTTTCAATCATACAACTATCTCATAACTGAATCTTTGCTGCAATATAATGGCTAATTGGTTATGTATAACCACCATGATTTCAGTGGATGAAAGATCTTCAGTAGTTTATGTTTAAAACTAGCTCAAACTATTCTGCCAATGGCCTCCTTTAGTTTCTACTCCGTGACATTGGTTCTACATCATGAGGTCAACCAGAAAAGGTGCAGTCCCCTTTTCAAGCTAAGTAAAGTTTTATTTTAATGAACCCTTTATTTCTCCTAATACTCTGCGCTCTGAATTTTATACAATTTTAGTTTCCTTTAAACGGTGTCCTACAAAATAAGAGACCACAACATTTCACAAAGCTATTATTTTTTATAATTCATAAATGTTGATGTTAAATTGGTTTTCTGCCACTAAGAACACTTTTGATGTACCACCCACCCCACCCCATGCTTTACCAAGGGGTGAATTCTAGGAAAATACTAACATAGTGAAGAAGAAAAAAAAAGCTTTAACAGGACCAGTAGTAATTTCTTTAAACCCTTTCTCTCAGTATCCAGAGTGCTTTTTACTTAAAGAATTTACCATTCTCCATTTAATGAGAAAAAAATAGGAAGATTTATTGCATACTACAGAGTACAAGGAAAATTAATTGTTTGGAGGAAAAAGAGAGAAAAAGGCCTACCTCAGGAAACTGTAACTCACCTTTCCTTTGTGTTTGGGACTTGTCTGTCCTACAAGTGAAGCGTGATAAATGAGACCATACTTAGGGGTATCTCGTCTAGACTTTAGAGCTCTGAAGAGTGCCTTTTCTGCTCCAAGAATCTGAACTGTAGAAGCTGCATGTTTGGCCAAATTCAAAAGAGAACCTTCAAAAGAAAAGAAGTAGTTACAAAGAATCACTTTAATTATTTCAAAGTTCCATGCATTAAACAAGACCTACAGAACAATTAAAAATCTGATGTAATATAAAACTTTATAGTCTGGAATTTCCTAAAAATCCTGATGCCTCAGCATTTGTGATTCTTCCAGTAGCACCACAAGCAAAGGTACGCGATGAATGTCTATGACAAACTGAAGCTTAAGCTTATTCAAGTTTATGTATCTGCCTGAGAAATGGTTTTACTATTTTACATTCTATTAGCATACCACAAGATATAAGTATAAACATATGTATTTACAGACAGCCCCCCAATCTAGCCCCTATTTTGTGAGATTTTGGATATTAAATATTCTTCAGATATGGAAAAAAAAACCCCATAAAAATAAATGGAGAGTTATTAGGATATCTTAATAGTAGAACTATGTGATAAATTACATACACTTTCATTTATCCCTGTTAAAATATGGATGAGAAGATAGGTTTATAAGTACACTAATTAGGTATGAAAAGTTGTTGCTTTGGCCCAGCTGGTGTGGTTCAGTGGTCAAGTCGACCTATGAACCAGGAGGTCACAGTTCGATTCCTGGTCAGGGCACATCGCCAAGGTTGTGGACTCTATCCCCAGTAGGGGGTGTGCAGGAGGCAGGTCAATGACTCATCACTGTTTCTCTCCCTTCCTCTCTCTAAAATCAGTAAAAATATATTTTAAAAAAAAGTTGCTGCTTTGTTAGACTTGTTGCAGAGTTTGTCAGAAAACACCCTTAATATTAATGAAGTCACCCACCACTAGATATATGTTTAAAACTCAAGGAATGTACACTTCGGCTGATCCTTGCATCTCATATTTCTACAAGCTTAGATAAACCTATGAAATTCTGGATGCAGACAATAAAACCAGACCAAATGATTCTATACTTGCAGGTTAGGGTATTTGAACTACATATTTGATCAATGAAGTGTCTATTCTAATTTAACTACTTTGCTGTAAAAGACACATTAAGATCTTCTGTGATGGATTATTACAATGCCTTCAGTAACATAAAATAATGAATTAGTACCTCACTGTATTTGCAGGTATTCAATTATACAGTTTTTGTAGCATCCACCTTTACATTATCACCATACACATGCATTAAGTTTTATTAAATATTCTGTATGTCAAATATATTAAAATATAAAATAGCATATTCAACTGTGAAACAGATTCTTGATCAAGGCTTATGTAGTCATACACTACATATGACACAGACCACACATACGACAATAGTATGCCATATAGCGTAGTAGGCTATACCACCTAGGTTTGTGTACATGCACTGTATGATGTTCGCACAATGATGAAATGGACTAATGATAACACATTTCTCAGAATGTATCCCAGTCATAGTGCAGGACTGTAATTATCACCTGTTGTGATTTCTTAAAAGTATTTAAATTGTAATCCAATCAGTTTTTCTTTTTTTTTTTAAATCCTCACCTGAGAATATTTTTTCCATTGCTTTTCAGAGAGTGGAAAGGACAGAGAGACACATACATCAAGGTGAGAAAGACACATCAATTGGTTGCCTCCCTCACGTGCCCCAACCCGGGCTGGGGATTGAGCCTGCAACTGAGGTACTCGCCCTTGGCTGGAATTGAACCCATGACCCGTTAGTCCGCAGGCCGACACTCTAACCACTGAGCCAAACCTGCCAGGCCTCTTTCTTTCATTTTAATCTTCATCCAAGGACATGCTTGGAGAGAAGGGAAAGAAACACCGATTGGTTTCCTTCTGCATGTGCCCCAACTGGGGGATTGAATCCACAGCCCAGGGATGTGCCCTGACTGGGAATCAAACTGGCAACCCTTCGGTGCACAGGACTACACTCAACCAATTGGCCACTCTGGTCGAGCAATTTTATTTTTCAATTTAAGTTGACTTTCAGTATTATTTTGTATTAGTTTTGGGTGTACAGCATTGTGGTTAGACAATCATATACTTTACAAAGTTATCTCTGATATTTCAAGTACCCACCTGGCACCATAGTTATTACGATATTATTGACTATATTCCCTATGCTGTACTTTTACATCCTGTGACTATTTTGTAACTACCGATTTGTACTTCTTAATCCCTTCACCTTTTTCACCCAGCCTCCCAACCCCCCTGGCAACCAACAGTTGACCTTTAAAAAAAAAGTTTTTTAAATCCTCACCCGAGGATATTTTTTCAGTTGCTTTTCAGAGAGTGGAAGGGGGGAAAGGGGAGAGAGAGGGAGGGAGCGGGAGGCTGGTTTTCTACCGCATGCACTCTGACTGGGGATCGAGCCTGCAACCGGGTATGTGCCCTTGGCCAGAATCAAACCTGGGACCCTTCAGTCCGAGGGCCAATGCTCTAACCACTGAGCCAAACGGGCCAGGGCAACTTTCTAATGACATAAAATGTTAACTGATTTTACCCTCCTACATTCATCTGATTATTCTAATTAACTACAACAAACATCTGACAATGGACAAGTGTCTCAGAAGAGGTAGTGACTAAAGATGCCTTCATTATCCAAAAGGGAATCAGGCACACAAATGAAAATCATCACCGAACACTGGTCCTTAGTCCTTGCCCACATATCACCTACTTCTATTTATTATCTGAAATGCATTTAATAACTATAATTTAAAGATTAAAAAAAACCTTGCTAGAAAACTCAACTCTAAATACCCAATACCCATGTTTATAAATTACATTAAAATCATCACCTGCATGAGCAATAAGCCGTGCTCCAACTAATTCTCCAACCATGACTGTAACATTGGGTGCAATGGCCATCATTCGATTTTGTAGGTATTCATAGAGCTGGGTCCTATATTCTGAGATTTCAATCACCTAGTATAAGAAACAAAATGAATAACTCATAAATGACTAAGAGTAAAAACAGTTTAAAATTCACATCTAAAACATCAAAGTCCTGCATCTATCATAGAGCAGCTGTGCAACTCTGGGAAAACTTGTCATTTTGTACCTGTTTCTTACAAAAGGGCTGCTGTGAAGATTTTTATTAAATAATGTATGCCAAAAACCTAACACACTGCCTAAAAATGTTAGCCAATACTACTGTTATTTTTTAAAAACCTCCAAGGATTACACATTTGTGTCACCCTCTCTAATTCTTGTACAGCTATCTGCAAAGGAGGGGGGAAATCACTACAGGCTACAGACATAAAAGTTAGAATTAAATAACTCAAGATATTCCTCTTAATGAATTTACAATTCATTAATCTTGACAATGCAACAATATAAATTACTTTTCTTAAAAAAAATCCTCACCAGACATATTCATTGATTTTTAGAGAGGGAGGGAGGAAGAGAGGGAGAGAAACACCAATCTGTTGCCTCCTGCATGCACCCTGACCAGGGCCAGGGATTGAACTCGCAACCTAGGTATGTGCCCTGACCAGAAATCAAACCTGTGACCTTTCAGTGTACGGGTTGACACTCTAACCAACTGAGCCACACTGGGCAATACTCTTAATTTCATTTTAGTGTACATTTCTCCCTTTAAGTATATGTATCAAGATGGCATCAGATGAGGTAGTGACTGAACACCCTCATGTTTATTTATCAGGTGAACAATGTTTAAAATCATCATCGCCATCAGAAAATTATTATTACAGTGCTGGTATCACAACTAGTTTCTCTATATGTAAAGTTTACCTGAGTGCAGAGATGCAGAATGTTGCAAATATCTTCTTCTGAAACCTCTGTCCCCATAGATATCTCTGCAGCTGCTTTCACTTCTGCTTCAACTTCCTCTGGCAGTAATTCAGAAAGCTGGGCCGAAGCATAATTCTTCCTATCGCCTATGGAATGTTTGCAGAGGATGAGGGAGAATCACTCTTCAACAAATTATACAAAATCCACCAAATAGTCAAAAGAAAAAGTAGAGATAAGCCAATGAAAAGGGTGCCTAAACAAAACAAAAAGCGAACAAGTTTGATCTAGTAATTTTCCTTATGTAAAGGCTTGATTTTTTAGAGATTTAAATCTCTCCCCACCACCTCCTTTAAAAAAAAAGAAAAAGAAAAACCCACCACTAACAAAAACCCTCCAAATATCCCATTCAATAGGACTAATAACATTGACAGACAGTTTGTAGTTAAGGTTATACTGAAGCTAGGGCCATGAATTATTGGGGCAATAAAATGGTAATATAATGAGCCAAATAACTCATTTCTCTATATTCAGTATCCTCTATTAATATTACTGTATTATTAGTACAGGATATAACACTAACAATACAGGTAGCAATATTACTTTTAATATTAATTATTAATACATTTCAGGATACCTCCCACCCCCGCAGTCCACAGTTGCCATCACTGATGGCAAATTCATTATGAGATACGTTCACCAGAAGCCATTTTAAGAAAAACCAAATTAGAGATCCACGTTTTATTGCACAAACCATCAAAATAAAAATTAAAATCTAACAGATATTAATATGGTTACACTCCTAAAACATAATATAAGTTGTAAAAAACTCTGGGAAGTTTGTTGAGAAAAAAAAAAAATATAACTCATGTTTTAGGATGCAAATAAATTGTTATTTTCAATGTCTTAAAGCATAAAGTTGACTCACCAACTTTCTGCAAACACTTGCAGTATGTCAAATTATCTGAAATAATTTTTCCTAATTCAGGGAAATGCCAGCCATACCATTCTCTACACCGCATAATGTAGTTGTTTAGTTCTTTATCTAAGTCATCCAACAAGGCTGTAGCAGATTAAAGTGAAAAAGAAAACAGGAACTTAAAAGGGTTTTTTAAATTGTGGTAAAATATACATAAAATTTACACTTTAACCATTTTCAAGTGTACATTTCAGTGGCATCAAGTACATTCACGTTGTGCAAGCATTCAGAGAACTCTTTCATCATCCCAAGCTGAAACTCTCTACCTATTAAAGAACTCGCCATACCACCTTCCCCCAGACCCTGGTAATCTCTTCCGTCTCTGTGAATTTGCCTATTCTAGGTATCACACAGTATCTGTCTTTCTGTGTGTGGCTTATTTCACGCAGAATAATGCTTTCAAAATTCATCTATGTTGTATGTACCATGAAGAACACGGATCTTCATTCCTTTTTTAGGATATGAATACTTCACTATCTATATATACATTGTTTATCTATCCATCTGTTAATGGGTATATGGGTTATTTCTATCTTTTGGCTATTGTAAATAATGCCATTATAAACAGGGTGCGCAAGTATCTGTTTTTGAGTACCTGCTTTCAATTCTTTTGGGTATATAACCAGAAATGCAACTGCTGTTTAAAGGGCTTTTTAAAGTTGAAAATAAAACTGGTATTTCCAAAAATCACTTAATAATATGGGAGAATGACCTATAATAAAGCCAAGTGAAAAAAGCAAAACACAGCACAATATCGATCCCGCCATGGTTTTAAAATTACGTTAACATAATTCACATTATCTCCAACTAGTCAAATTATTGGTAGCTTTTCCTCTCTCTATTCTGCATTTTCCAATTTTTTATCAAGAGTTCTAGTTAAATCCTGGTCAGTGTGGCCTGGTTGAGTGTTCTCCCGTGCACCGAAAGGTAACCGGTTTGATTCCCAGGCAGGGCACATTAGGGACTCAAACTCTGCAGGAGGCAGCCAATTGATGTTTCTCTCCCTCCTTCCCTCTAAAATCAATAAAAACCATATTTTTAAAAAAGAGTTCTAGTTACTATCTCTTCAACAGAATTATAAAAGAAACAGTTTTAATAGCAGGGGAAAAACCATGCAGAACAGACAGAATAGACCTCAACATTTACTATACTTACAAATTGCCTGGACAATCATTGTGTCCACTTTATCAGCACTAAATTTCAATCTATACCGGGACAAGCTAGGGAGAAGGAAGAAGATAAATTACTAAGATAGAATCTTTATAAAGAATTTAATTAACATCTTAAAACTTTTTAACCCAAACCCCTCCCTCAGACCTACAGTTTTTTAATTCTTTTCTACATGGGAAAATCAGCTGCAAGATCAGAAAATACACATTTAAAAAGAAAACAATACATCTGTCCTGCTATAAGCTATAGTTCTGTAACATTAATTTATAAATGACAATGACAACTAGAATAATACTCTGTAGTGCAGGTCATATTGATTCATAGGTGATTTTTGTAGCATATTAACGTTTTATACCAGCAGGTAAGAAAAAAATGCAGTGCTGTAACACCTGAAAACAGAAAGCCATGGAGGAATGATACTGTATATAAGGGTTTCTTAATCTTGGCACTATTAATATCATAGGCCTGACAGTCTTTGTTGTAGGGGGTCTATTCTATGCATTGTAGGTGGTTTAGCAATATCCTTGGCCTCTACCCATTATATGTTAGTAAGAGACCTCATCCTAAGTTCTACCAAACATGTCTCTACACATTGCCAAATGTCCTCTAAGGGATATGTGATTGAGAACCACTGCTGCACACAATGCCAATTCAATCACGTTTGAATTGACCTGGTTTAGCTATTTGTTCTCTCTTAGAAATACTTATTACCAAGTTCTTCCTGACTTTTGTGCATTTTGCTTGTCTCTGTAAGTCAGGAGAGCTTTAACCCTCCAACAATCTATGCTCAATATTTTTGTTCAAAGGTACAGACATTTATTATAGTATTCTTTTAGCATAAATTTAACATGTCTTTTCTGTGTATTTTTTAGGGCTATTGTTTTTGACAGTGCTCTGTTCACAAAGTTGCACAAAGTTTTTTTTTTTAATCTTTTGAGAGAGAGGAAGGGAGGAGGAAGGAGAGACAGAAACATCAATGATGAGTCATTGATTGCCAGCCTCCTGTAGACCCCCTACCACAGACTGAACCTCAATCTCCTGGACCATAGGTGGATGCTCAACCAGTACGAACCACCAACCGGGCAAGTTGCATAGGTTTTGAGTAGTCTGCCCTTAATCTTATTTTTTCACAAACCCTATTATTTTAGTGCAACTTCACAGAATGCCAAGCTTTTCAGGAACACATATATTACAGTACAGCAGAAATTCCTGTTCTAATGGATTTCAGGTTAAACATCATAGGTTAATGTGCTTTTTTTTGCCTTATTATAAAAACAATAAAAATCAGAGTAAAACAAGCGACACAGATAAGGCACAAAAAAGGAGACCACAGCAGATGAGAAAATTTGGGAGATGGTAAGTAGATGTCTCGAGGAATAGCAAATGATTTAGATTTAGCAGAGGTAGGACGGGGGTGGGGTGGGTGTGGACAGAAAGCCTGAGTTGTGTGGGGTCTAACACCAGAGGGGTTGAGAATGCCTACAGTGAGGCTTAAGAGTCCAGGCAGTGAAGCCAGAATGTCTGGGTTCAAATCCTGACCTCCTCACATACCAGCTGATATTAACTTTGGCCATCCATTTCCTCATCTGTAAAATGAGGGTACTACTACTGATTGTTGAGAATTAAATTAGTATGTATAACGTGCTTAGAACAGTACTATACAATTGTTTAATTAAATAAAAGCCAACTTTATTTTCCAGTAAATCTCACCTGTGGGCCAATCCAAGACACATAGCAGCCATTTCACGTGGCTCTACCCCAGGAATTAATCCATCCATCTGTGAACGAATTCCTCTCATAAGTTCATTAACAACAGGACTATGGATGCAACTGAGATTCAGCTTTTCCTATAAAAACAAGAACATCTGTATTAAAGAAATAAAAGCTGCAAAAAGATAAATACATGCCCAGCCAGCATGGCTCGGTGGTTGAGCATCGACCTATGATCCAGCAGATCACAGTTTGATTCTGGTCAGGGCACATGCCTGGGTTGTGGGGTTTGATCCCTAGTAGGGTGTGTAGGAGGCAGCCGATCAATGACTCTCTCATCATTGATGTTTCTTTCTCTCTCCCCACTCCCTGAAAGCAATAAAAAGAAAAAAGAAAAAAAAAAAGGGTACAGTTTAACCTAGCTTTGTTCGTTTTATTGGTTTGAGGAATCTTTTACTACCTTACATTATTTACCTTCTTTTAAAAATGATAAAGGTAAAACACACAGAAGCTTTCAACCAATAGTACCACAGAGAAGGGAACTGAATAAAAAGCAAATTCTGAGTTTAGGACCTTTCCCTACAGATAATAACTGGTAGCATCCCTTAAGCACTTCCAAATACATACATGTATTAACCAACATCGGTGTTTTAGGCCATACCACCCTGAACTTGCCTAATCTCCAAATATATACGTATGTTAATATGTACATGTACACACATATACAAGTCTTCATAATACAGTTTAAGTTTTTACACAACCCACACAAGCAAGATAAGCAATTTGATTCTCCATACTTTCATTTTGTCATACTGCAGTGTACTTGCTAACTCCATCATACAAATCTATAGTTCTAGTCCATCAAATACAAATATACAAAATTGTCTGTATTGCATCATGTTTAAGAAACAAATATTAAGAATGTATACGAGTAATATTCACTGTAAACGTTTTATAATGGAGAAACTGAAAAGAAAAAATTAAAAATAGCCATAATCCCACCATTAAGCAATTTGCCGTTCTGCATGTCTTTCTGTGTATTTATTATGCTAAAAGTTATTTTTGAAAAAAAATAAATATCTTTATTGATTTCAGAGAGAGGGAGAGACAGACAGAAACATCACTGATGAGAGAGTCATTGATTGGCTGCCTCTTGCACGCCCCCGACTGGGCATGGAGCCTGCAACCTGGGCTTGTGCCCTGACCGGGAATTGAACCAGTGACCTCCTAGATCCCAAGTTGATGCTCAACCACTGTGCCATGCCCAGCCAGGCAAAAGTTAATGTTTTTAACAGAGAAAAAAATTAAGACTTGTGGGCACTTCAAAGGATGAAGGTAGAGACTAACACCATCACAGAAAACTTCATGACCTCACAGTATTAGAAATAATCTATTTACACAAACCTCTTAAATTCAGAATCCTGGCTTTAAAAACCCTCAGATCTCTTTAGTGCTTTCCTACCCAGAAGACCTACATCACAAAATAATCCCTACTTCAAAATTCAAAGTTCAAACTATCACAACTGACTCTCAAACTGTTCTACTTTTCATGTCTGAAAGCCTACTTTTCCACTCTTCCACTCTTCCTTTATGTTTAACCTCTAGCAACTCTACTCCCCATTATAGTTTTTTAACAAAATACATGGCAGGACATACCCAAAGTATTAACAGACTACCTCTGGGTGGCAGGGTTAAAGCTATTTTTTAAAAAATATTTTTATTGAGTTTTAGAGAGAGGGGGAGAGCAAGCGAAAAACATGGATGTGAGATCGCAACATCTATAGGTTGCCTCCTGCACACCCCACTGGGGATTGAACCTGCACAACCCAGGCATGTGTCCTGTCCAGGAATCAAACCACCTGCAACCTTTTGGTGCACAGGACGACACCCAACCAACTGAGCCACACCAACCAGGGCGGTTATAGCTATTTTTTAAAAAATAATTTTTTGGTGTATTTATATTTTCTACAATGAACATATATGCTTAGCTCTGATAATCATATTGGAAAACTATTATTATGCAGCCTAGGGAAAAAAGACAAAGTATGAGAACTTATGACAAACAAGTCATTACAAAGGCTGGGTTTTGTAGTCACTATGCTATATGGTGAGTTTGGATAAGTAAGCAGGAAAGAAAATCTTAACTTTACCTTTATGACTCCTCCTAGTTTAGCATCAGCTACAGCCAGGGGTTCATGGGCTTCTTTTACTATTTTCTTCAGAACTTTTTTCAGTTGCTTGTTGATTTTGCCCTCCATCAGAGCTGTGAATGCTTTTCAGGAAAAAGAAAAACAAGAGTTAAGTCTCCAATTTTTAACCTTAAGAGCTTAAGATCTTATTTAAATTTAAAAAATAAAGCAAAAACAATAACACACTCCCTTCCAAAAGGGCTAAATTTAAAATTACTTCTGATAAACATAAAAATGTTTTACAAGTACACATTTCACAATCTCATCTGATCTTGCCACCCTCATTTCTACTCCAGAATCAGGAGTTAAACCAGATCCAGCCTTCCTCTCCCTATGCCACATGTATCTTCTTTTGAACTCAGAGCTAGAATCATAAAATGTTAGAAACATTCTATTTTGGAATAACAAATAGCTTCTCTCTTATATAATGACAGACTGGCCTGATGCTCTGGATTGTGACACTCTAAAATCCTGTCAAGACTCTGGTGGGGGGGAAAAAGGAGTATATTCATTTTGAAAGTTCTTCTGCTATGTAAGCATATCTGAGTGGGGCCTAATCTTTGCTAATTCCTAATCCACAGGTGTCATCAGACCTATACTTATAAACCTCCAATGATAGAGACCTTATTATGAAGGCAGCCTGTTCAACGTTGGGACAACTTTCATTTTGCATACATCCCAAGTCTGCTACTTTTGTAACTATCACCTTACTTAGACCTACACTTAGATCTTCTGGACCCACATGGACTAACACCTCTTCTACTATTTGTCTCAGTTTTAGTTGAATTTAAAGTATGTCTGGCAAGAAGGATGTCTGTCATAATTTCTAAGGCCAAGCATTTAGTCAGCCAGGTACTTGCTTTTCCCTCCTGATCACATCTCCATTCATTTGAATTACAAGTCAATTTCATCTGTTATTTGGGAAAATGAAAGGTGAAGACAAAAACATCTGGCTACCACACAGCTCTTACAGAGTTCTCTACACCTTACTCTAAAAAGCCAAGATTCAACCTATTTTTGTTGGGGTTTAACCTTTTACATTTTGTATAACATTGGCTCCTTAATAATCTACCTTTCTAATAAGATTGTATTCTTTCCAGTTTATCTTTCATAATTAAAACTTTTTTATTCAAGTTCCTGCTCCTAGTTCTCAAATTTTCCATATCTACGTTTATACTATACAATTTCTTAAAAGTAAATCTCTACTCTAAGATCTATTCTAACATTTACATTATCTTCCCTTTACCAAAAAGTGTGGTAATTACTGTTCACAATATGTACTTTTAAAAGATGATCTATAGAGATGGTGACAGGGAAATGGGAGGCTGAATCTTTCCTCTACTTGCCTTCTCTGCCAGCCACTGTTCAGCATCCCCTAGTAGTTTTCTCACTTCATCCAAATGTAGGCTGGTCCAAATTTTACTATTTGGAAGACTTGCATCTTTAAAATTTGACAAAGAATAAAAACAAATCTCTTCGTGCAAATGGCATAAGTGAATTTCTGGGAGCAATATAAATTAACATCACACCCCATCAGATTCTTTCTCAGGCTCCAGGATGTTATACGCATAGTCTAACACCTATAACCACTGAATTTTGGTTCTGTCACATCAAAACTGACTTGTAATAAGCAGTGGGAAGTTTAATTCTCAGGAAGGACTCTGTTCTCTCAGTAATGAGGCAATGTTCAAATTTCTGGTAAAAATAGATGAGAAAAGGCACTGTAGAGGTTTCTATGACCTGATTCCTGACATAACTCTCTACTTTCATTCATTTACCCAAAAATACTTATGTGCTAGAATCTAGGGATTTGACAGTAAACAACAGTCTCTGCCCTCATGGAACTTAGATTGGGGGGTGGGTCAGAAATGTCTCACCAGTATGACACTTTCCCTATTTACATTATTTTAAGAAATAAGAAAAGCTTGGTAGGGAAATGTCTCAAGCCTCAGTTTTATCATCTGTAAATAGTGATATTACCTGATTCGTAGGATAGTTTCAAGATTTTGGAGCAATGAGCACAAAACCTGACAACTGCTATGTGATCAAAATATTGGTTATAGTAAAAACTTCCTTCATGTTTGGGTAGAGGTTGGACCTGTCCATTTAATAGTTTAATAAGGACTGGTCAGAAATATCCCCCAAAGAGGTTATATGTGAAAAAGAATTCAAAAGAGGCCACTCACAGCACTTTACAACTCCAGGAGTTGCTGTACCAAATCAGTATGTGAATAATGCACCCCAGAGTTGGAGAACAGCTAACACACCTTGCTTGGGATTTTACAAAAATTCTACCATTTAATTTTAGAGCTGTGATGAAGAGAACTACATTTTTAAAAATTCCCCAAGCAAAAATTACCATAGTGGTGCTTTATAGCACTATGAGGCTTTTATTACCAATGAAGCAGCCCTAGAACCATTTTTTAAAAATTTTTAAATAAATTCAAAAATGGCCTCATTGTTGGGTCTTCCTTCAGCTCACTCCTCTGCCAAGATTGGGATAGCCCATTAATATTCCAGTATATCTGTTAAATTGGATTCCTAATTTTCACAAGAAAGTTATACCCTTCTACTGTGGCTGATGAACCAAGTTATTTGTGTCTGTCAAATTATTTATTTTAAGCCATATTCTTCCTTATGGCCCTTCATTTTCAAATTATACAAACAAGTAGTTGGCTGATTTGATATAGAATCTAAGCAACTGAAAAATTTATGATTAGGGTTTTATATCTGGTCTTGTTTTCCCTAATATTAAAAAAACTTATAAAACCAATTGCCTACTGAAGCCAAGCCTAGTTAATAAACCCTTTTACTTTCTGTCTGCTATCCTCTCACAAGGACTAATTAAAGGACAAGCCATCCACTCTTCCAATATCATAAAAAACCATGCCCCCTCTTGATAACAACACATGCTTCTCTGTAGTTTCATATTAAACACACACAAACCTAAAAGTATTAGTTTTCCTAAAACTTTTAATAATGTGTTTTCAAACTAAAAATGTATATCCCTGGAGAGCTGTTTTATTATTATTTCAACTGTGAATCCTGACTATCCTCAACTTCACCCTTATATTAAAATGATCAGAGCTGTGTGCTTGACCACATTACCTTGGTCCCTTGTAGAACAGCTTTTACTGAACTGTGCTTTAGCATTATGCTGTTGGTTTCCACAGGGAGATCAATTTAACCACTTCTCAGCTCTCATCACATGGGGGGGGGAAATCAGCCCTATGGTGAAAAAAGCTAACTCAATGTTGTCTCAGTGGTAGTGACGAATGTTAGATCACTTAAATTCAGTTCTGAAAAGAATGCATCATTGACAACATTGAATAAGGTTAACTCCGGCAACTGAAGCAAATAATTTTTTAATAAGGATAACAAATTGCCAACATTAAAACCAAAAAGGCTAGTATTTTGACTTTACCTGCTAATGCTTCTGCTGTATCCTGAAATTTCTCAAAATGTTTTAGCTTAACTCTAGAATTAAGAAAAAAAGAAAAAGTTACGCACATACACAGATTTCTGCAAAAGCAACATATTTAGGACAGGGTGTCGGATTGTTTCCAAAGCATACACTAATAAAAGAAATTTTCCTGTCAATGGGTATCAAAGTGCAAAGTTAGATATTCTTCTCAAAACAAATAGGTTCTCTAAATGTTAGGCTGGTAATGTCTGGACTATTATAGAAAAGGCTGTATAGGCTTTGAAGAAAATAAAGAACAAAAAGGTTTGCCACCACATCTAAACTACAAGGAAGATGCTGAAGCTTCAACATAACCTCTGCTGCTTTAAGCTAGACATAGGTGCCTAAGAAACGGCGTAAGAGTCTGTCTTAGGTCAGGAATCATGACACTGAATTGTCCACCCAGTAAAAATATGATTAAACAACAGCTTATTGTCAGATCTGATTCCTGTTACCATTATTTTATCCCCTTCTTTCCCACATACTTATGTGCAGAGGATCATCATTTCATATGGAAACAAATACATACATTTCATTCATTGCTGTCTCAGTGGTAGTGACGAATAACTGAAGTGAGATCACTTAGATTCAGTTCCAACAAGAATACATCATTGACAACAATGAATCAAGTTAACCCAGCCAATTAAAGCATATATCTCTTTAAAAAGAGAAAATTAGTCTTCTTTTGTGTCAGAAATAGTATTATCTTAAGCAAGGTTTTCTTACCTGATCAGAGAACACCCTGGTGGTCCCTTAAACACACATCCAACAACACAAAGATTTAAGGAAAAAGTAATAATTTCATCTATCCTGCCTCACTCCACCCCCATTTGCACCCTTCTAAAGTGGCATTTGCTCATACCACTCTGTACTTGCATAAATGAATATATAGATATGCAAGAACATAGCAAAATGGGATCACATTACTGTGGGGAGCCGTTGTGGCCCCAGGCACGGAGGAGCTGCCTGGGTGAGCTGCAGATGTGCTCCCCTGCTCCCTGGGAGATGTGGGTGAGCTGCTGTGGCCCTAGGCACAGTGCCTGGGTGAGCTGCAGATGTGCTCCCCTGCTCCCAGGGAGATGTGGGTGAGCTGCTGTGGCCCCAGGCACAGAGGAGCTGCCTGGGTGAGCTGCAGAAGTGCTCTCCTGCTCCTTGACCCAGACCTTGAGGCACCAAGGCGATACTAATTTAGTTTGCGGCCTTAAATTCTAGAAAGGCTTATTAGGAAGCTGGCCCTGGCCTGAAGGGTTAAGGGACAGTCAAGCTACATACCAAGCCAAGGACTCAATCCTTCCCAACAAGTTCCCATTAGAAGCAGAGACAAAGATAGTTACCAAGGTCTGAGCTCCTGCAGGAGGCAGGATGTTTACGCTGAAGGTGTGTTTGTGCAGCCTGGAGAGAACTACTTTGTATCGGGCAAGGGGAAGGAATGCGGGGCAGGGTGCTATTCAGCAAAAACAACTGCGCTGGTATAAACTGAGCTTGGAAAATAAACTCGGGGCTGCAGCCCTCACGAGCTGCAGTCCTCCCGATCCCATCTTTTCTGTGTCTGTCTTTTCTCCATCCTCACCCCTACTCTCAGGACCGTTCGACTCTGCCAGCAGGCTCCGGCACATTACACAAAATCTGAAGCATGATTTTTTCAGTATATTATGGACCTCTCTCTCCAAATCTACAAGAGATCTATAGATCCACTACAAATGCTGGAACTATGTATTTTGTTTCTCTAACTAACTGGTATGACATTTCTTTGGGTTCATCACTCTAGTAAGCTTTAATAGTTTCCTTCTATTCTTGTGAGTTTTTATTAGCACTAGCAGATGAATTATGAAGTGCCCCTTAGCATTAAGGACATAACCCAAATCCACATATATCAAGAGATCACTCAGGTTCTTCCTAGGACCACATTCACAAATGGGCTATTTCATAGATGGTGAAATAGACATCTTGACTACCTTGAGGAAAAGCCAGCTCTCTCTCCTACCACTCATTCCTTCTACTCTATATTCTACTCCAGAGACTTTGGGTATACCTTTCCAGGATTTACTAGCTAGTTATTACTACAGTGGGAGCTAGAAAATAGAAGTCATAAAGAACGAATAAACTGCAAATTAAGTTTAAAAACATTTGAATGCCACTAACTTAGAGAAACTAAAAGTAAAATCAATCAGCAGTACATGCTTTTGACAAGTATTACTTTTCGCAGAAATTTATACTTAATTCACAATCAATTTGTGTTTTCAAATATCTTACAAAATAGTAATTTTGTGTTGCTGCCCAATCTAGTCTGCAACTAATACAAATTAGCAGAGATAGCTTATGCCCCAAATGAGGAAATCTAATAATTAGGCTCATACCAATATTATTCCTGAAATACATTTCAAAACAGAAGTTATGAATATAACATTATATGAACCAGGGGGGGAAATGTAAAAAGAACCCCTAAATATGAACTGCTAAATTCTTAGTTTTAAGATGACTTACATTTTATTTGCTTTCTCTGGAGTTTCAAATTCTTTCCACAAACTATCAACTTCTTGAAGTTTCTTCTCATTCAAAACCTGTAATAAATATTTAAATAATTTTAAATAGCACAACTCAGTCAAGCATATATAGCTACATTCTTCAAGTACAGCTGTAATTGTAAAATGAGGATGGTGGAAGTCATTTTTCTCTCTGAAATAATGAACCAGTTTTCTTACCCATCATAAATTTTTGGTCAAATCAGTAGCTTTTAAATAGCACATATAATAGCTGGATGGAATTCAGATCTAGTCGGGGGGGTGAGGGTCTCTGCTGAAAACTTTCTATTTTTTAGGACATCTTAAGCTCTTCAAAAAGCATATCATATTCATACTTTTAAAAAATATGCCATTATTTTACAATGCCAGTTAAACTGATCTGCAATCAATTTTAAGACATCCCATTTTCAAGGATATTAAATATGGGGGAAAATGCATTTTAGGATTGATCCTACCCTATCTTGTACTTTAGCAGCTGACTTATCAGAGGGAGTATTGGTGAGGGTGTAGAGAAATAACTTTTATTCACTCCTGATTCACTCTTGAAACTAAGAGAATCTCTTGAAGGCAATTTGGTAACATCTATCAACATAAAATATGTATATGCTATATGATCAATTAACCACTTTCTATAGAATAAATTTTATTTACTGCTACAACCATCCTAACATGAAAGTATTATGGGTTTCTCTACAATTATGCCCGGCTGGCATGGCTCAGCAGCTGAGCATTGACCTATGATCCAGGAGATCGGGGTTCTACTCCCAGTAGGGCCCCCAGCTGTGGTAGTGGGGAGCACACAGATGGCAGATGAATGACTCTCTGCCTCTCTCCCTCCCTCTCTAAAATCAATAAAAACACATAAAAAGGGGCATTTTAATTTTAAATCTATGAAACAGTAACATTTAGGGATATATTCGAGACTTTTTTACTATGTGACATTTTATTTCTGCGTACTTCTAATAATCATACTGTATACTTAACATATCATGGATGTAAATACCTAGAATTGAGGTATACAAATATACCATCATTTATGCTTTTATTGATATTTAGGTTATTTCTAAATTTCCCTTATTCTTCAGAAAACATTTTTGTATGCATCATGTTGCCTTTCTATAGAACAAACTACTGGAAATGGAGTTAATTGATCATATAGGATATGCATATTTTATGTTGACAGATGCTACTAATTTGCCTTCAAGAGTGTTAGACTTAAACCAGGAGTGAACAATATTGCAATTACAGGCAACTCCAATGAGGAAAAATAAGCCAAGTCAGCTTTTGTTTTTTAATTATTATTTTTTGGTTTTCTTAAAAATAACATGTACTTAATGTAATAAGTGCAAATAGAAGTATATTTTCAAATGGCAGAAGTTACACTGGAGAGTGAAAAACTCTCCCAAATCAACACACTTTGGTACGTGCCCTTTCAGACTTTCCACATCCATATCAGCGGTTTTGATTCAAAACTAGAATCATACTATACATATTTTACCTAGCGTTTTGGGGCCTTGTATCAGCACATATAGGGTGTCCCCCAAAAATGTATACATACACTCTGA